CCTGGACAAGGCTGGGCTCCCGGGCCCGGCCCCATCACCTCCATCCCGGATTCACTCGGGGGGCCCTTCGCCAGCGTCCTATCTTCGCTCCAAAGACCCAACGGTGCCAAAGCCGCCTTAGTGAAGAGCAGTATGTTCTGATCTGGGACGTGGCGGCGGGCGAGCCGGGGCCGGGCGGGCGAGTGGGCGAGCGGGTAGGCCCAAGGCTATTGTCGTCGCTGCCGCCCTGGCTTTTTCATGGAAAGCCTAAAGTAATCGCGATAAGAATAAAGAGAAAACGGCGTCGCCCCCATTGCAACCCCACTCTTACCCCAATCCTGAACCCCCAGCAAAACAAAACAAAGCAAAACACTTCCTGGCTTCGCACCTGCCCCAGGGCCGCGCAGACGGGCCAGGGCTCCGCCTGTGCACCGGGAGGTGGGAGCGGTGCGGCCTGGACTCGGGGGCACTCTCAGGGGGCTGTGTCTGCGTGTCATGTGTGTCTGTCTCTGGGAATGTGTATCTGTGGCCCGAGCAGGTGACAGAAAGAGATGGATGGGGGCATAACCAACTCAGTGACTTGCTTAGAAAAAGAGAAAAATACACAAAACAAAAAAACCCCAAATTAAAAAAAAATTAGGAAGGCAGCAATCGTTTTTAAAAAAAAGATTTTAAAATCTAAGGGTAACAAGTAAAGGGGGAGAGAGGGAGGCTGCAGCAAGCACTGTCTGGCGGCTCTGTTTTGTGAACCCTAAACGGGGTCCCTCCTGACGGCACAGACTCCCTTGGGCTCCTCCTTAGGGGGGACGAGGGAGCCTTCCAGTCCCGCTTCCCCTCCTGTCCTTGGGTTCGGCCGGGCCGCTGAGGCGAAGACTCCTGCAGACTGTCGCCGTGGCCAAGGGGACGTCCTCGCGCCCGCCTGCCTGTCCACCTGGCCGAACACCATCCCGCCATCAGCGCTTCCGAGCCCCACGCAGTTGCAACTCCCGAACCCCCGAATCTTTGCAGCCACTCGGCCCCCCGAAAGATGCCCTATACATGAGATGCCTTTCATCTGCAAACTGCAAACTGTGTCTCATATTTCAAAACGCTTCCCTGTTTTTCTCTCTCCTGCCACCCCCACCGGCATATTCTTCTTCCACCAGCTTTTACTGAACTTTTCGGCACTGCTTTGGATTGGAGTCAATTGCAGTCCGTGCAACTGGCTACAGAGAAATCTACCAAGCGAGGGAAAGGCGCGCACACTAGTTTGCAGAAGTGTCTCGGTTTGCACTTCTGTTTGATCCGAAATGGACTCACATCCTGTATGGTGGATGAACTGTATATTGATGATTCCATTCTTCTCGCAGTTTAGACATCTCTGTTGAGGTTTTTTTTTTGTTGTTGTTTTTTTTTTTATTTTAAAAGGCACAAACTATAGATATTAGTTGAATGTTGAGGCTTTAACTTTTTGGGTGTCTTTCTACAACTGTGTTCTGTGACTCAATTGTATCGTGTTAATATCAGTACAGACCGTCTCCTCTACGTAACCGTATAATGTTTTTCCTCTTCTTGTAGTCTCTATGGCGTGTCTTTACGGAGTACTAAGGTTCTCACGGGTTCAATTCCTTTGTGTTTAGAGACCACGGTTCAGACAATGGTATATATTTTTGTTATCAGGTGCATGTCTGTCTGATTTTTTTTTCTTCTTGTTGGACCTTGTTTGTGAACATAAGCGTCCTAAGTTATGTTTCAGATTTTCAAATTTATTTATATGTGTTATAATGAATGCTTCTATTTAAAAGGGAAATATTTCTACATGTGCATATAGTTTTCCAAGAGTGTACCATTAACTTGATTGTTGATAATAAAAACAAAAAGCAAGTCTAGCGATTGAACTCCTCTGAATTTTCCTCAATTCGTTCTTTTAAATTTAATTTTTAAAATGATGAGGGAGAACAGAGGAAATTGTATAAAATCTCTAGAAGCCACAGTGGCTCTGGAAACCTAGGTTGGTTGGGGAGTGGAAATCCATGCAGCCAAATTCAGCCAGGATAAAATTTAGTGCTTGGGAGAGCAGGCAGGATTCTTCCGGTGGTTTTGAGTCAGGGAGCAAAAGAGAACACTTGGGTGTTGACAAAAATGTTCAGATCAGGGCCTAGGCTGAGGCCCCAGGGATTCCTGGCAGCAAAGACAGGAACTGCACACCTGATTTTGAGGACTCAACTGTGGATTCTGAGCTAACGTGCCTCCAGGACCCATAAGCCCCCATGGGCCATCCTCCTTAAGCCCAAAGACTGCCTGTAGCACCCTGTGACACCTGAGGGTCTTTGCATGGGCAGATGGCTCAGGAAGGCTCTGGGTGGAGAGTAACATTGATGTATTTTGAGAAATAATATTGACAACAACTGAAATTATCGAGCCCTGACATGTACCAAATTGTGCTTTCCATGCATTATCCCATCTGCTTCTCAAAATAACATCACGAAGTAGTGCAATTCCGATCCTCATGTTCTTTTTACACAGATGAGGAAGCTGAGGCAACAGAGAGGTTAACCTGCTCAAGAGCCCTGGGCATGAGTGATGGGGCAAGCCTTTGAACCCAGGAAATCTGATTCCAGAGCCTGTATATTCACTGCACCAGTGGTTCTGAAAGTGTGGTCAGCAGCTCACATGGGAACTTGCTAGAAACAGGAATTCTTAGACCTTATTCTAGACCAGGGGTGGGCAAACTTTTTGACTCGAGGGCCACAATGGGTTCTTAAACTGGACCGGAGGGCCGGAACAAAAGCATGGATGGAGTGTTTGTGTGAACTAATATAAATTCAAAGTAAACGTCATTACATAAAAGGGTACGGTCTTTTTTTTTTTTTTTTTTTTTTGTTTTTTTTTATTTACACGGGGCCGGGGCCCGCCCGGCGGGCCATAGTTTGCCCACGGCTGTTCTAGACGTACAGAATCATGAACTCTGGGATGGGGGCCCAGCAATCTGTTTTAACAAGCTCTATAGAGGATATTAGAACCACTGAACTACACTCTAAGAAACCCAAATAGGAAGGTTCTAGAATTGGGACTACATTGGGAACAGGGGTGTGTGTATGGGGGTGTGTGAAGGAGCCTCTGACAGTTTCAATGATCCCCTTTTGGAAGGAGCGGTCATCAGCACAGCTCCAAGATGAAATTCTGTCTCCATCTTGGACTGTTTGGCAGGGCCACCTTCTTCAGTAAAAGCCCATGTGAACTTCAGGTACTTAACTTGGTACCCCTGTGGTTGGGCCTTATAAGTAGATAAGTCAGTTCCCTCATCTCACATCTGAGGGGAAGCCACACACTGCCTCCTCTGGTCTGAGGATTAGCAGCTGATGTGGCTTGAATTTATCAGGGCTTCCCACTTTAAGCATCCAAATATGGCTTGCAGCAGATCATGAAGGTTTCATTCAGAAATTTCAAACCTTTGGATATAACCTTTAATGGTTTTTCTAAACAGCTTTTAAATAGTCTTTAAAACAAAATCTGGCCCGGCCGAAGTGGCTCAGTGGTTAAGCATCTACCTATGAACCAGGAGCTCACGGTTCGATTCCAGGTCAGGGCACATGCCCGGGTTGCAGGCTCAATCCCCAATGTGGGGGTGTGCAGGAGGCAGCTACCCAATGATTCTCTCTCATCATTGATGTATATATATATCTGTCTGTCTCTAAATGCCTCTCAGAACCCACCCCTCTCCCCTCGAATAACATTCTATAAACAGTGGCATCAATTGTGCTGGTCTAAGATGCCAGCAGTCACAGATTCTATAGACCCCAGTCTTTTGTTGGAACTATAACTTAGAAAAGTCTGGGAGAAGAAAAAATAAAAGCAGGAATTTATTGATGAAAAAATAATTCAAAGCCCAGGTAACCTAGCCCTGGGGCTTGGCTAGAGAAGAATGAGCCTTACGCATTGGGGGCCACCAAGTAAGCCTCTGAGAGCTGATGGGCTGGCCAGTGGGACAGGCATTCTGGAGAAGGCAAGACCAGGAGACAGAAAGCAAAGAAGAAGTAGAGAGAAAGGAGGAAGGTAGAGAAAAGAGAGGAAAACCAAGTAGCCAAAGAAACCCCAGTGAAGGCCCCAGAAAACCTTTGAGATGTGACCAAACTAGATGAGGATACTCAAACTCTCTTTTCCTGGCCTTGACCTGGAAATAATTTATCTCCTGGACAATTGAAACTCTGGGGACTGGTGAGGAAATCATGCTCCCTACCCCCCACCTGTCCCAGCTTTCCAGAGGATGGCATTTAAAATCTCTGGAGGCACCCCACTTTGGTATTTCAATATCAACTTCTTTTTAATTTGGGCCACTTCTGCCTCTCCTACTGGTCAAAGAAGCAAAGCTGTTCGTTGGGAGGCAAGTTTATGATCAAATGCAAACTAATGTCCCTGTAATATGATGGAGCCTAGTGGCAGGACACTGTGTCTCTCGGGTTGTGTCATTTCCTTGGAGTCATGCACGGTGTGAACAAGCTCACTTTCACTTTTCCTCTCCCAAGGAATTTGCATTTTGGCTCATCAAGGCATCCTTTTTCCTGGCAACTCCGGGATCACATGTGACTTCACAAAAGCTGCAGGAGCTGATGCCAGATGGCCACCTCTGAGCCAAGTCTCCTTCAAGATGGCCAAGTACAGGAGCCTGAGTGGTTTCAGAGGGGAACTGATAACCCAACAGGTAGTAGCTGTCTGTCACTCACCCTGCTGCTTCTCTGAGGAAGCCAACTAGATAGAGATGCCCCTCAATTCAGGGAAAGGATCTGAGTGACTTGGATGCTGAATAACTTAATCCCTCTTGATAAGCTTGATTCATCAACTGTAAATATGAATAATAATATAGACTTGTGGGGTTGTTGGGGGTATTAAATAAGATATACAGCAAATATCTGACATAGCATGAAGTTTTCAGCAAATGTCAACTATTATGAATATTATTATTACATCACTTCTAGATTCATTATCTCCCTTGTTCAAATCGTAGAAGATTAAAAGAGCCCTCAGCCCTGGCCAGGTGGTTCAGTTGGTTGGAGCGTCATCCCAAAAAACTTGCAGGATCGATTCCTAGGTGGTGGGTTCAATCCCCTTGTCAGGGCGAGTACAGGAGGCAACTGATCGGTGTTTCTCTAAAATCAGTAAAACAAATCCTCCCATTGGAAAAAAAAAGCCCTCAGTTGTCAAGTCAATGGCCCAGGAACACAAAGTCTGAGAGAATATGCAAAGCCTGGAACTGGAGAACGTTGCTGAGGGTGACAGTAACAACCTAGAATTAGCCAAGGGCTCCCAAGTAATAGCTACTAATATTTATTGAGTTCTCATTATATGCCAGATACTTTTATGCTTATAAGCTTTAAAGCAGTTAATCCTTACAACAACCCTATGAGAAAATGATATTCCCATTTTTTAGGAGGAAACTGAGGCATAGAGAGGTTAGGTAAGATGCCCAGGGCCACACAGCTAGTAGTACTGAAGCACGAATCCAACTCCCGTTTGTCTCCAGAGCCCAAGCTCTTTAACCACTCTCCTTTTAGAATCTCCACAAGGAGAAGAATTCGTTTTCAGCCTATGAGGTCATGTACTACCAACCTGGGAGGAGATCTCATCTCTTAAAATGATGCAGAAAGGTAGGTGAAGGTTAGACAG